AGCGACTTGGGAGCACACACAACAGCAAACATGATCTCCTGTTGACACTGTGCTGCTCCTTATTTTCTCCAATGCAATTCAAGCTTTCAGGACTGAAATAATACTTTATCTTCAACTGCCCTAGTATTCTAGTAGTTTGACAGTAAGTATGGGACAAATGCTAGCTGAATTTTCACCTTGATTTAAGGTTAAAATGCTATTTGGAGTCTCCTGGTCAGCAAATTGCAGTTAGCATATCATTTTCCCTCTGCATAAGAGCTCTTTATCAAAAATGTCTTCGTCGGGCTGGGGATTTAGCTCAGTGGTTCCGCCGCCTGCCTCACAAGCGCAAGGACCCAAGTTCCATCCCCGGTACCAAAAGACAAACAAACAAAAAAATGTCTTTGCCTATATATACATTGTTTTAACTCTGATTCTTCATTATGTATGCTTCAGTACATCTGATTCATCATTGCACTAGGTCTGATTCTACAAAATATTACAGCTTATTATGTTAAGTTTTATGCTTTGAATTGTTCCTATTAAGCAAGTAAGTAATTGGTGTCATTCTGGAAGCACAGGTGTGCATGCTTCACGGTCTATTCACTTTCTGAAGTGGACTGATACATTCTGCATGAGCAGAGGTAATAAGTGACTTATAAAAGGTCACCCTCATATACCTCATTGTAATATTCCAGCAAAGAGTTTGCCAAATCATGATCAAAATGCACAGGAAGAAAATATATTTACAGTGTGTTAAGTGTCAGAAATTAGATCCTATATATGGATATTGACAGTTATTTGTCATCATTGGGCCATGTTGAGCCAAACTGGCCAATCAAGTCATCCTGTTACAAGACAATGCTCATTCAGGGTCACTCTCTGCCACCCGAAGCTCCCTGATGGTTCTCACCTCTGCTGGTCTCACTGGCTTAACTGGTGGCATGTCCCGACCCTCAGACCCTCATTCCCAAGGGGTGTCAGCTCTACACCCTTTATAAGAGGTCATTGGCCATATCTGTCCATGTCCATTTACAGTCTCAAAAGGACAAAGAAGCACCTAGGAAGCCCAAGTGAATTTTCTGGATCCCCCTTGAATTCCTTCTGATCTCCATCATGTAAAATCAGCCAGACCTCCTTCAGGTAAAGAGTCACTCCACTATAGCAAGACAGTGAATTCTCAACTTGTCTTTTGGTTGCTGGACATAAAGAACCACAAATATCAGAGTGGCAGGCAAAGCTTATAATTCAATGAGATACTCATGGGGTCCCAGGAAGAAAGGTGCTGGAAATGAGGACATAGAATTGGAGTCATCCAGAGCTCAAAGCCCTAGGGAAGTAAGCAACATGTGCCCCCAGGAAATCATGGGGGTGATGGCAGTCCCTGCCTCATTCCTTAGATCCCATGCATATTAGTTTCCTAGGAGTGCTGTTAAAACTTACCACAAAGTGGGTGGCTTAAAATAACAGATTTATTTTCTCACAGTCTGGGAAGTGGCAAGTCTGAAATTAAGGGTGCTTATAGTTTGTTTCTTCTGGAGGCTCTAAGGGATAATCTGTATTTCTCTCCCAGATATTGCTGGCAATCCTTGGCATTTCTTGGGTTGGAGCAGTATCATTTCAACCTCTTACTCAAATAGGTCACATTCTGAGGTCACACTCTGAGGTTCCAAGTAACAAGAATTTGGGGGTATTATATAACCTATCACACACGCACTATGCCTGTCGCACTGATTCTTCCATTGTAGCTTGCCACAAACTCCACAACACACCTTAACCCATCGCTCACATTTCCAATATAACAGCATGTACTGTACGGATGAAGAAGCGGGTTGCTTCCACTGCAACCTAGACCTGCTCAGTCCTTTCCTGCTGTGGGCACCACTCAGAGCAGGCAGCCTTCTCCATCAGTCAGTACACAGGCCAGAGGACTATCTGCAGGGATGAAATATGCTGCCTGGATGTACAACTCACCGACTCACCAGGCTTTGTGCTTCCTTCTTCAGGTTAAGAGGTGTATGTAGTCATCTGCTTCTCACTCTGGAGGTGAGGCAGCAGCTGGAATCCTAAAATGTATGAGTTTGGCATGAAGTTCCTAAGGTTTATCCCTTGAAAATTCACAAGGTTTATCTCTTCCCTCTGGAACACGTCTCACCAAGGGTTTTAGCTTGTTGTTTATCCAGCCTCATCAACATATCGTTATGTAAAAGATCTGAATTCTTGAGTAGGATAGTTAACAAAGCCCTAGAACATATATTCCTCATACTTTTATCATGTGTATCTGTCTGAATAAAGATACTATACCCAGCATAGCTGTTGCAACCAAGGTTATTGCTTAGTTGAGCTTGCAATTGTCTCTAGTCCTCTTTCAGGATCCATTCAGTGTCTGCATGAGCTGGAATGGTGAATTCATGTAGACCTTCTGAGACCATCCATCACCTCTACGCCCTTCAGATTTCTTAAAAGGGGCATCAAGTTCTCCCATCATTGTGCTCAGTGAGATTGTGTCACTCTTGACTGAAGTGAGGAGACAGGAGGGCAATGCTGTAGTTTGGGTCTTGAATGCTCCCTCCACTGGCCCATGTTTAAAGACATGGTCCCCAGGGTGGTGCTACTGGGAGGAGGTGGAACCTTTAAGAGGTATGGGCTAGTGGGAGGTCTTTATACCATCGAAGCTATGCCCTCAAAGAGGATCATGGGACCCTAGGCCCCTTCTCATCTCCTTTTGCTTCCTGGTCATCAGGGTAGCAGTTTTGCTCCACCACTCTCTCCTGCCATGATGTATTTCCTCACCACAGGCCCAAACTGACAAGCCAATCAATCATGGACTGAACCACCAGAGCAAAATGAACATTTTCTCTTGTAAGCTGATTACCTCAGGTATTTTGTTATAGTAATAGAAAAATGACTTAATATGAGTACTCAGTTTCCAAGGCTCCACTCGGCTTTCCACATACTCAGTGAAACCATCCTTAAGAACATTGGCCAGAACTCGAAACTTCTCCCTCACTCTAACAGGGAAACAACAAGGGCGCTCAGTTTCTAGCCATCAACGTCAGTTCAGACTCTTTGCCCAGCTGTCCTTGAAATTCCTTATATTCCTCCTTTGCCAAGGATAGAATTATTAAATGGCTGCAGACCCACTTGCGAAAGCCGTGACTCACTACCTTGTACAGGTGCCGTGGTGTTCCTCCTGGGACCCTAAGGCAGGGGTTCCCAGTGTGAGAACTGTCTCAGGTTCCAAAACTGAGTAAGGGATGACAACTTTGATTGGAGTGATCGCCCTTGGCCTTCATGTCATCCACCCTTGATTTTGTCTCATGACAAACAATAGTATCCTCTTTCACCGTCTATTTATTATGCTTCTAAGTGTTCTGTGTTGTATTAACCAGCAGGCTCAGTCCCCTTGACTACCATTGCCACTTTGATAATCAGTACATTGTAACCCTCTGACTTTTGGCAAATTACACTCTGCCACTTGACTATTATTTTTCAGTTTTATCACACACTGCCATCAGCAAGCTAAGCTCTGTAATAGTCTTCCCCTAGTAGCAGAACTGACCCATAGAAATCTATCTTAAATTTTTAGTGATGCTTGTGCCTTGTCATCAGAGTATCTTCAAGGCCTTGTTAAATGTAGCAGAACTGGTCTCCTGAGAGCTGTCCTCAACTGTTCAGTGACACTTGTGCCATGTCATCAGTGCAAGTCTCTATGGCCTTGTTAGGCGGTTTCCACCGGGCATTTTCACGGAACAATCATCTGACAGATCTTCCAGATGAACAGCCTATCTGTTCCAGCACACCCACTTCCCTCAATATTTTGTTCTTTCCTCCATCATCTGTCATAGTAATCTTTGCTCACAATGGGTCATTAACTTTTTCTATGCTTCTAAAAGCCATCTCCCAGGATCCTAGCTAGGGTGTTAAACCTTGTAACTTAGCATAGCTCTTATCCTGCAACCCAAAGACCCAACATTAGCAAACTCTGCTCTAATTCTCTATTCTGATGCTCTAGATCAGGGGTGTCAAACCTATAGCATGCATGTTATTGTGTTTTTCTCTTAAGACAAAAGATGTTAATATATTCAGTATTCAGGTTTAATTGCAGTGTTGGCATTTTGCAATAAACAAGTGGGTTTTGGGTTGCAGTTTGGCACTCAGTCTCTTAAAGGTTCGCCATCACTGGTCTAGATGAAGAAATGACTCCAGTCCCAAGCATACTCCTTCAGCTCTTCCCAGGACATGCTAGCTCAGTCGAGTTGTTTCTTTGAGGTATTGTCTGCTGCTTCAGGTCCAGGATCTCACTCAGCTTTGCTTAACCTTAATTATTTTAGGGCTGGAGATTATGTTACCTATAAGGGCCTGGAGAAAAGGCAAGTCCTGAAAGGGGCACATGCTGTCTAGGCAAAGAAGCCTTTGCAGTCATGCAGTTTGGAAATTAGGGAATAAAACACTTCAGCAGCATCCACGTAATATGTCCACCTTTTTGGGTCTTGGGTTTTACCAAACAGTGCCCTGACCTTGGCATAACAGAGCTCTCCTGGTAGGCAACTACCCCTGGAGTTTGTCCACTTGAGATTATTAAGTCTCGGGCTTGGTCCTCAGTTTCTTAGCACTCCAGCTGCAAGACATGAAAAAGCTTCTTCCCAGACAAAGGCCCCGTGGCTTTCACACCTGGTGCTCCATTGCCTGTTACTGCCCTCAGCTGTTCACTGGACTCCGGGACAAGAATGGTGTAGCACAGCCAGCCAGACTTTCGCCCTACATCTATAATGCCAGCCAATCAGATAATGCTTCTCCCCCCACATCATCCCAACTCATTAATGTAAGCTGTAACAACTGGAACTTGTGCTGCCAATGACAGCATCTAGACAGCCAAGCTTTATGTCCGCCATGGTCTCTGCTACCTACTCCCATAATGGAAAAGGAAAAAAAATAAAGCAAACAGTTTATAGGAAAGACTGAAATGCAAAATAAGTTTAAAAAGTGAGAATAAGAAAATACATAAAATATTAAATGTATTTAGTGAAATAGTACTAGATTTATTCACAAAGAAACTAATACTATTCCTGGTACAGTGTCTGAAAAATAGCTACTTGGTCACCTTTGTCAATACATTTAGGCATTAAAAATAGGGACTGTTCAAGAATACATTGTGAAGAGATGAATGAGTCAATTGTTAAAAACATGAATGACTTAACAGCAATATTTAATGAAAATTTAGGGTAAAACAATGTTCAGCTTTCATTCTGTGGAGATTAAAAAAAAATACAGTAATCTACCCATTACGTTTTTCAAAATCAAACAATAAATCTATAAGCAATCCTTTTTAATAAAATCAGTAATTTCAAATAAATATATTACCATTCTATCCCTTTGTTCTATATATATGTATCTAATTGCCAACACCTACTAGATTACTGAAATCAGTGATAATTCAATCCACAACACATTTGTCTGGATCATGAAGTCTTACCTTTGAAATGCATTTTCTTATGCTAAAAGCCTTTAAAAATGCTACGCCCTACTTCTTGGCCCAGTGTGACTAGTCTTTTGCACAGGGCCTAGCTGAGGGTACTTTCAAATACCCACACCCAATCCATCAAGACCCATGTTCCTGCTCCTCTCACAATGGCCACCAATGGCCAGGCAGGCAGCTCACCTAGTCCTCCTGTTCCTCAAAGTGAGCATAGCCACTAGCATAGGTCCTTCCTAAATTCAAATTAGTAAACAAATCTGACGACTCAGCATCCGAATCCTTTCCACCTTCATCTTCCTCCTCTTCATCATCCTCTGCTTCATACTCCTCTTCCTCCTCGTGATAGCTAGCATCACCATACTTGTCAGATGAAAGGTTCTTCCAATAAGCATCGTACCCAGAAGCTCCATCTCCCTCTTCGGCACCAGCCTGCCTGCCAAATTTCAGGGAGCGTGCTACAAAAAGCAGGTACACAGCATTTCATTAATTCTAACTTTGTACATCCTCATTTTCTTCTATAATAAATAAAAGTACATGAACTTCACTGACTACTCACCAATAAACAGGTAGACGACTATTTTCCTAATTTTTGTATGTAATCAATCTATACACACAGATAACAAAGATTATAGTGTCATTTCATTAAATGAAGAAAGAGTTAAAAACTGACTTTTCACTTCTACCTTATTGAAACAAAATTTGGTGCAGAAGAGGCACAAAATCATCACTCATCTCACTGTGGAACTTTATCTTTCATTAAACAAAATACTGTCAGAGTCACTGAAAATTTGCTTTTCTTCTGACATGTTTAGTAAAGAGTCAAACTTCTCTTTAACAAAATGTTAGCTGCATTACTATAATCAGGCTTGTAGTAGTCTTATTCCATTATAAAAAAATCGGTAACCACAAAACTGTTTTCTAGAGTATTAACATATTACATAATAAGCACTGTGTGTCTACTACACACCTTAAGAGTAACTTCAGAATGAATCTGACTTCCAAGTACTGAAATTTACCACCACATGTCTATCACGGATTTATTCAATTACTTAATAACAAAACAGAAAAGTCATTTTTTCTACCTCAACTATCAGTATTTCTGTCATTAACTGGAGTAAGTACCAAATGTCAAAATAAGTGCTGGTGTTTAAGTAAAATTGAAAAATTACACCCACATTACTTTCCAAGGCTATAAAATTCCACCTGCTTAAGAGAAGACATTCAGGGGCCAGGGATTTAGCTCAGTGGCACCCTACAAGTGCAAGATCCTGAGTTCAATCCCCAGTACCAAAAAAAAAACAAAAAACAAAGAGAGAGGAGACATTCAGCTTTTCAAAAAATGAAGAAAAGGGAATTTAAAAAAGAGAATAAAGGTAAACTCTGTCCAAGCACAAAAGCAAATCATTCCTTTGGTATTTTAAAAGCCTTACTTGACATGCTAAGATCCTTTGTCTCCTGAGTCTCGTGTCCACATTTAGGGCAAGGAGGTTGTTTTCCTTTTTCCTGTTTAAACACCTTGCTTCTTGTATGTTCATCACAAAAACAAGCCTACATGGGAGAAGTAAAAATAAAGTAACTAATTTTTGAAATATCATTCAGTATTTCAAGGGAATTTGAAGACACATTCGCTATGGCAGAGGGATTAAGAATTCTGTCAGGACTAGTCATACTCCTCGGAAGTGGTTTCTGCCAGGACTCTTGTGAACCATGACATACCACAAGCCAGACTAACTACACACAGAATGTGATGTGGAGACGCATCCGTCCACTGCTAACATGTGAGTACTCACAAGGTCCCTGATGAAGTAACAGTTAGCAGCCTCACTGTGTACGGGACAGTGCAGAAACAATTACAGGACACTAAGCATTGACAGAGAAGTGCAGACAAGGGGCTAAACAGAACACAGGATTCAAGAAAGGCTTTCTGGGAAACACTGAGTCTTGGCTTAAGACTGAAGGTAAATGTGTGTGCAGAAGGGCAGGCAAAAATAAAAGAGTGCTTCAGCTAAAGGAAACCATACAGACACAGGTAATGCCTAAAGCGTGAAAGCACAAACACTTTCAACACACTGAAAGGTGGTACAACTGGAGAAGAGTTGGGAGAGAAGAGAGACAGGAGAATGTATGACCCAGAGAAATATTTCTGAGGGACATGAACTGGCTGCATCTGTTTAATGATCTGTGATCAAGAGAAATGCTGGAGACAGCCTAAAGAAACAGAACACTATGGGAATTTTCACTCTACTCAAACTCTTCTAAAAAGGTGCACTTTAAAATTAATCAAAATATATTCCCAACACTGGTCAGAATGTTCTCCACAAATGTAATGTGTGAAAAACACTGATCTGGAACTCTGGAGATATGTGCACTAAGTAGCAACTCTACTACAAGCCAACCAGATGACCGAGGAAAGTCACTTACGCTTCTCAACTTCAATTCCAGAAACTCAAAAATTAAATTCAACTATACAATTGTAGGCCCCATTGATTAATTATAGCTGTAAATAAGCCTACAACATGTGGAAGAAATAGGAATTCAATCTTAAAAAATAAGACAAAACATACAAATATACCTTACAACGGAGACACGAATGCTGACCAAGCCGATTGCATGAAACACCTGTGGGAGAAGGATACATCTTAAAATCCTGTCAATTATTCAGTTCTCATTTTCTTCTTTTGTCTTTTATTGGATCAAATATTGTCAATGAAACTACAGCCTTACATTCACAGTTGCCTGTCTTTGGGGTTCAAAAGGTACAAATACACAGAGCACCAAGGCCCCAAATAAAATAATTTAATTTTTATATTATACATTCTGCAAAAGCCTTTAAGAAAGCCTCAAACATGCTATATATTTTCAAATGCTCTTTTAATCCTTGACAATTTTCTATATAAACATTGCAAGAATTATATGTAAATATATATGTGTTGTATGAATACCTCAGATCAACGACTTACTAATTTTAAATTTATAGATAAGTATAGAAATTTTCGCATCATAGCAGAAAAAGAACCAAATTGGAGTGAATCTAGGAATTTCAGTCTTTTTTTCCATCATGGCAGCTATTTAATGAAGGATAAGTGGCAGATACCATACACTAATGTGTTTTGTGGATTCTCTTTTTAATTTACCTTTTGAGAAAAATTATCTATAAAGATGCTACCATTTTTAACTCAATCAATAACACTGATTGTCAATTTTATATGCAAACACAGATGCCTGGCAGCCACAAGACTCAAAGACAGACTCTCCAAGGATAACACCTTGGCACCTATGTTTCTTAAAAGCTCCACAAGTTATTTCTGATGTACTCTCTTATATTAGAATCACTGGAATTAACTAGCAAGAACAAACTAAGGGTGCTATCACTTACTGGAGGGCATTTGGAAATGGAAGGAGCACATGGGTAGGTTTGGTGCATAACAACTTGAAGGGGAAACTGACATGACATGTGGAACTCAGAACCAGGAATGTTACAAGTCCTGCAATGCCTGGTCAAGCTACAAAATGAAAGACTAATACAATCAATATCCCACTGGCATCTCTACTGAAAATTTTAGGACTATATGTTTTCATTTGTTTTCTGGAAACAAAATAGACACAGCTCATAAAATGAGCTGTAAAATTACAGCTCATAAGAGATGGCATAAAAGACCTGATTCCTTCTTCATTAAACATTCATAATATACATAATGTTAGATGTAATGAAAATGTAATATTAAAAAACTTACATTTAAATGTTTCTGCCTCCAAAACTTGGCAGCTGGCTTGATGTTCAAATTGATCATCTTCACAGAGAAAGTTATGGCAAAAAGAACAACTGAATATTCTGCCTCCTAATGGATTGAAACAAACCCACAAATAAAAATATAATAAACTTAACTTTAGAAAACTCATCTCTGAAACTGCTCAAAAGAGCGAGCAAATGATTTCTGAGGTACAAAGTATTTTGTCTTCTGATAAAAGTTAAAATGAAAACTGCTGAAGTATTTGAAATCAAACCATAAAATAATGGATTCCCAGAATCCCCTAGCTCCTTGGATCGTGGCCAAAGAGATCATTCACTCCTATGACAACTTTCCTCCTATCTGCCTAAGTAAACAATGCCAGCATTCACAATTATTGCTGGCGTCAATCCCTTTTCCAACTAAACTGATCATCAAAATAGTACCAGTAATTACAAATGATGGTACCCTTAAAATTATCTTTTAAAAAAGCTTTAAATAATATATAATAATAACATAAATAACATATAATAGTATATTTAAAAGTCAGCCTTCACTTATAGCCAAGCTCACTGCTCGCATCTAATCACTTACCATGGTCCCATACACCTCTTTCACATTCAACACATTCAGCATCAGTAAGAGGGCAGGCACAGGCATGTGTACTGAGACACTTCCTACCATGGCAAACCCAAGCTTCACAGAAGTCACATATTGCACCCTGCAACCAAGGAACAAGAACATTTGATCACTGTCACTTGACCAGATGCAATCACTGTCTAGCTAATGGCCAACTATCTAAATCCTACACATTTAGTAATTTATCAAATCTCAAGGATATCAGGTAGCTTCATTAAAGCTTGTATTGTTTGAGTTAAAATAAAAAGGATTCTCTAAAAAACCACCTTATCAATAGCCATGCACAACACATAAAACTTAGCTATAAATCAAAAGAAAAAGTAAGCAAAGGGGAACTATCCCCTTATTCTATAAATTAAAGAGTTGCAAGTGCTGCCTTCAAAAGAATTCAAATTCAAAGGTGTTTTGGAATCCACAGATTAACCTTCCTTGTCTGTAAAAATTTTTTTAACTAAATTGAATTTTGAAATACTACCATTTCTGATTTAAGAAAATTTCTTATTTATAAAATAATCAAATAGCCTTTGTACAATAACAAAATATTGAATTTCTGCCATCTTTTTGTAATAACTTATGCTTTAAATCATTACATTTCTTTGTGGCAAAAAAAAAAAAAAAGTAAAACATATGGAACTAAACTACAGGGTAGAACTCTCCAATTCTACGTAAACTTAGTAAGACTATATCTTTCAATAATACACTGACACCTACAGAATATTAAGACTGGAAAGAATCTTAAAAGAGTAGAGCTACAGGACCTTTCCTTTATAAATGAGAACATTAAGTCCCAGATCTGAATTATGACTGAGCTGAAATTTAAACCTTGGCCTCTTGAACCTCAGTTCAGTATTAATACTCAAGGCTTCATAAGTAACAAAAAAAAGCAGCAAATAGGAAGAATGATTTTTGATTTTTAAAAGTGGATTATCAGCAAAGCTACCAAATCTTTTAACGATTCTCTTAAATCAGCCAGGTTCTAGCCAGAAAGAGAATTAGGTAATGTAGGACAGTTTAAAGAGACAGTTTACAAAGGCAGGAGAAGGCTTTAGAAAAATATCAAGGGACACATCTACACCTGATTGGACAAGGGAAGAGCAGAAGTGATTACCAGAACCTAGAGAGACAGACTGTGGTGAGAACTACCTGACCAATTGGAAAAGGGTCTGCCTCGAGACAGAGAATTGTATGTTCTGAGAAAGTTAGCATGTAAGACATTTCACTTGACACAAAAACATTACTTTCTTCATGGACTGCAATTTGGATGTGAAACATAAAACCATATAACAAAATATGGTAAAACTATTAATTCGTATTTAATAAAAAGTATGCTTTACTGAAAGAGAATACAATCTACAAACAATGCAACTGTTATTATTTAAAAAACTAAATCTTCTTAGAAAATCCGACATATAATGAAGAGATTATACATAAAGTATAAATTTTTTTTGAAATGCAATGCTTAAAAGGAAAAAAAAGAACCTATTAATCCTACATTTTTTTTAAACTCAGTTGTTAATTTAACCAAAAGCTTAAATGTTGGTTAAGAAAAGCTTAAAGTAAAGTAAATGCTATTTTGTGACAGCTGATTAAGGTACAATTGAGAAATGAATTAATGAGACGAGGGACAAAGCACAGCTATCCAGAAAAAAGAAATTGGTCAGAAGGACCTTTTTACTCATCCTTAGAAGCCTATAGACAAGACATAATTGACAAGAAGCTTACCACCATTGCGAGGCCAGTACTATATACACCAGCATGCTTTATGACACAGTCTGAGGACTTCATCATGCACTTGGTCTTTCCTAGTAAAGACAAAAATGTGCACTATTAGCCCTGCAAAATAGTACAAACAAGTATTCACTCATTCCTCTTGGTCTAGCCTAAGCTACTAAGGAAATACTTTAAAGACAAATGAAATGAAATCAGTATCCTTTATTGTACATAATTAAAAAGAAAAAAATGAATATAACTGAGAACTCATTACCTGAGACAGATTTTTTTTTAAGATTAGAAATATATTAATAAACCTACTAAAATGTATTATATAATAAATTTATATGCTAATTTATGCTTGTACTAATATCAAAAATTGCTGGTTATATTCTATAAGTCAATGATAATTTTAAGTTTAAAATTATATCAATTTACAGATGAATCAAAACATTTTAAAAAGCCATGCTTTAAAATGAACTCTACATTTTATAATTTATAGTAAGAACAGTTTGGCTTCAACTTGTCACTTATTTCTTGCTACAAAATACCACAAATATCAGAAATGATTACACAACTTACCAGTTTAAGTTAAGTTTATTCATTTGTAAAATCTATAAGCATAGGCCCCAGGTAAACATTTTTCTAATAATTCTAAGAGAATTTTGAAATACTGTCCAACTGAGCACAAAAAAAGTACAGTGTTTCAACTGAAAATTACAACCTACTCACAAAAGCTCTGATCTAACAGCAAATTACATAAAACACTGCAAGAAAAATCTGTGTATCATTAATAGAGAAAAAGATGCTTAATTTCCCATTAGCTTGATTTCAAGGAACCAAGTTAGACAACAGGAAATGAAAAGAAAGGGAAAGTGCAAATGCAGCAGTAATTACCCCAACTGCTCCGTGTCTAACACTAAGTATCAGTAAACAGGATATGCACTCCAGTATACAGGACAAAATCCAAGCCCAGAGATGCTGAGTTATGGTAAGACTTGATTCCTGAATCCTCCACAAAATCTAGTTTCTCATCTACAATCATCTGTTCCATGCAAAAATAAGGATGTAAAAGCAGAGAGATCAGTGTTCCATGGAAGCCAGTTTTCTCTCTTCCATTAACTGCAGAATCAAGAAGACATATCATTGAAAGCTAGAACTACACTAGAAACATTCAGAGACGCAGTCCTGAACACTGGTTACCATCTGCAGCACTGTTACACTGAGACACACAGAAATGGGGACACCCCAAATTGTTCCACTTGAAACTATCATCCCCCAAATAAAGGGGATATTTATTCAGATAAAAAGGTGAGGGTAAATCTGGAGTAAAGAAAGCTAATCAGGTTTCTTTATTGAAGATCTCCATAACTTTTAACATATAAATATGTAGTATGAATTTCCCAGATGGGAATGAGACGAAACCTGCAGCACTTCTTACATATATATATATTTTGAAAACTATCTCAGGTAGCAGGTAGAAGGCTATTTGGAGAATACCACTTATTTCTATTTTAAATCATCGTTTCAGGGTAAAAGTTATCTATACTTGGAAAATGGATGCCTGACATACAACTCTACTTCAGTCATTTGGGAATACATCTGAGGAAACTCAAGAATCCTATGGGAATACCACACAGAAAAAGAACTCACCATAAAATCAAAACTAGGTTACGTGTGAAATAAAATGGATCTTAGTGGTCTAACAGACTCAGAAGACAGTATATTCCATATTGCCTAGCAGGTAAAATGAGAAAGAACCAAAATTTATTTTATTTTTTTCTTTTCTAAGGGGCTTTTTTTTTTCCAGTCTTTTTTCTCCTTTGGTACCAGGACTTGAACTCAGGGCCTTCCACTTGCTAGGCAGGCACTGTGCCACTGAGTTGCATCCCTAGACTATACAAGGAACTGAAATTTACAAAAATTTAAAAGATAAGACTAAGGTGGCATAATTCAAAATTCAAAATCACCAAATGTTTTATCTAAATTTTTTTTAATATTTAAAACAACTTGTCAGCGAGCCAGGGATTTAGCTCAGTCGTTCCACTGCCAGCCTTGCAAGCACAAAGACCCAAGTTTGATACCCAGTACAAAAAAAAAAAAAGTCAGCAACCTGGATCTGTATTTTCCCTTATTTTCCAGTATTATATCAAAATAGCAAAACTAAAACTTGATGTTTTCTGATAGGCCAAATAACACGAGTTTATTTTACTAGTGGTAAGACATTATTACATATCTATTACAATAATATTATTGTAAACAATAACAAATCCACAGGTTCAAAGTGATTAACTGCTAAACAAACATCTGATGAAAGAAAAGGCATGTGTTCTAATATACTTACCACACTGTGCACAGATTGGTAACTTCTGTACAGCATTACAAAAATAACAAAATGCTCTATTCTTCTGCCGCCTTGTCATGTAAAACAAAAATTTTAAATAAGGTAAATGTCAAATAAAAGACCAGAGGGACTACTTTATTATATGTAAATAGAAAAAAATAAAATTTACCTCTGACACTTGTCACATTCCTGTAAAAAAGTACAAATATATTATTAATTTTTCTGCTTTCTTGTTTTCCAAGTTAAAATTTAAGTGGGGTTACACCAAACTCTCCATTTCCACTCATGTATAAAAGCTTCTGTTACTTAAACAACAAAGATCTGTGACAAAGGCATACTCTAGCCACACCACACTAGAAAAAGTGGCATCAAAAAAGAGGCTGAGAGTATAGTGGTGGGTTTTTTACCCATTTTTTTCTTAAGAAGTCAAATGTTAGGGCCGGGGATTTAGCTCAGTGGTTCCACTGCCTGCCTCGCAAGCACAAGGTCCGGAGCTTGATCCCCGGTACCCAAAAAAAAAAAAAGTAGTTGCAAAACATATAGTGAATAATTAAATTTTAAAACTGTATTACAGTAAGAGACATACTGCCATTAATCTCCCTCAAAGTATTTTCCTTGCTCTGAACATATTTATCCCAGTGTTCTTGCCACTTTCTGAAGCAGTTCTCCAAGTCCTCTCATGAGTGTTCTTAGGAAATGTGATAATACCATGAATGCTGCTGCTGATTGCCATCCAACAGAAAGGTGGGTTCAAAAAAAATTACTCTTTTTCATCCACCTTATTGAGCAGATCTGCACCATGAGACTTCTGACTCCTCTTCAAAGTCAAAATGACCATGAAAAATAAACATCTTGAATCAATTCAGGACACTGAAGCAGCCATGACAGCACAACTAAAGACAAAAAAAGGGCTTCCAGAACTCAATCAGAAAGTGTTAAAAATGATGGGATAAGTATGTCCAAAGCACAGAGGAGTATTTTGAGGGGAATTAAGAGCAATGTATCTATTAGTATAATAAATGTAAACATTCACCATATATTTCAATCCTACTTCATAGCTGTATCCTTCCCCTTTCTATCTACTTGCATTAATCCATTATCCATTCAATAAACTATTTTTCCCTACAGTTATTTAAGTTGGATTTCTGTCATTTATAAACAACTGAACTATAAGCCTGTAGAAATGGGGACACCAGATTATTCATCTATAAATCACCATAGTACCTAAAATAGTACCTGGCACAGAGTAGATGTACAATAAATGCTAAATTAAGGCATATACAGCATTTCACATACATCTGAGGAAGCTAAGGAAAAAACTGTGGAAATAGCAAAAGCGTAAAAATATGGAGAAATGAAAGAGTAATGATAACATAACTATCATTTCACCGATCAAAGCAGCCAGAAATTATCCAGATTAATCCATTATGGAAAGGCCTAAAAGGTGATAGTACAGGTAGCCAGGAGATGGCAACAAGTTGGGAACTTGAAAACAGAGAAATAAGTGGATTAAAAATTGCCAAGAAAAAATGATGAAAACTCAAAGACGAACTGAGTTAAAGTACATAAGGGTAGTAACAGTGGCAAATGTCACTTAGTTCCTATTATCCATTCCTGTTCAGCATCTGTTTAACACAAGTAGAGGAGGTAATATGCTAGGTTTTATAAATACTACATAATCAAACAAAAATCACTGCTGCTCAGATTAGAGAAACAAAGAACATGCTTCTAACACAGGTTCCTCATTAAATACTGAAATGTATGTGGGAACACTGTACTCATGGAATTTTTTTTAGGTATATTTCATATAAAATACATAAAGAATCTTAAATAGGAATTGATATTTTTTAAAAAAGCTGTTACCATCGAAGCATTACATGGATGCTTAGCTAAATCTACAGTGCTTCTTGATGCTCTTAGTTGTTTTTCACGTTCCCTGCGGTTCTCAGCCTTCTTCCTGGCACCAGTCTTTTTTTTAGGCATTTTCCGCTCTTTCTAAACAACAACAACAAAAAGAAACGAGATAACTGCCCGGTTTCATTTACTATTTTAACGAACTAAATAAGAAACAAAATAACAAGATAATCTTACTGTCCTTGACTTTTAAAACTGACATTTCAATGGTTTAGCAAGCTGCAAGCCTTTATGAAATATTAAGCACACATTAATCCAAATAAAGCAAAGATCTTTAAAATTAAGGCACAAGTTTGTACTACCATACAATTCTTAAAAATGTAAACATCAAAAGAAATTATCCTAAAATCCAAAGTAGTAAGTAGTATTCTCCCACTAGGGAAAAAAGGTTCTCTGATGCGCCTTGTTTATAAAAAAAAAAAAAAAAGCACATATCATCAAGAAACCACTTAAAAATGCATTTTTCACTCAGTTCAAATTGCTTTTTTGAGGTACATATTCAGAACATTGAGTGAAATTCAAAACACTGAGTGAAACAAGTCTAATGATTCCTAGTTAATACCTAAATAAAGCATCATAACTGAGTCAAATGCCACCGTTAACTACAAAGTCAAACCATTCTCTTAGAAATATATTAAAAATACTACAATTGCCTTGATTCTGAAAGTTGCTCTTCCTACATGCAGGGAGCATACAGTTTTAACAGGGTTCACATGTATGTACAAGAGTATACATATTTTACCATATCTTTAAAAGTGGCTTTCATGACTTCATTGAAAGAACTACAGCCTTTTCTTTTCTAAATTGAAGCTTTCTGAATTGAACTGTCTCATCAAAAACCAAGAGGTAGGCAGGATGGTATAGACTGAAAAATATGGACAGAGCAGTCACAGGAGTTAATTAGTGGTTACTTAAGAAGCGGCCAAGACGCTTGGGCACCTTTCCGGTATGTACAATTAAAAATCAACCAGATGTGCTGCCTGGCCAACGGTGGTCAGATGATGATCACAAGGTGACGCGATGACATTTTCTGCGTCCCCAGGGGTGTCTTTTGAACCTACTAAGAAAAACTGAGCCTCATTTTCCCCCTCCAACTTGCTATGGCCACTTCAGAGCAAATTCCTCTCCCCAGCCTCACATGGGTTCAAGCCCTGCCCGGGCAACGCTCTCACTCTGGAGTGTGCCCGCGTCACCGAGTAATGGAGCTGCACGGGGTCACCGCACGTCAGGCCGACTTCGCGGGACCCGTGGGTGGCGGGGACGTCCCGAGGTGACCGACGGAGCGCCACGCGGCTCCAGGCAGCGGCGCGGGGCACCGTACCTCGCGCGCTCACCCCCTCGGGGCGGCCGGGCTCACTCGGGGTCCAGGAGCTGAGAACCGGGCCGCGCCAGCAGACGAGCCGACACCGGGACCCGGACTCCGGAAAAGGTACCTCCACCCTGGACGACGGACAGCGCCGGTTTCCGACACTGGGAGAAGCCCCGGATGTCCCCCTACGTCAGCAGCGCCTTACGGCACACGTCGACCGGAAGCGGCCTAAGCCCCGCCCCGTCTGTTCGCCCCGCCCATTCCTGAGGTTTGGGAGGGTCCCATTGAGGAGACCTGTGAAAGAGAGGCTGGGATGCCAGGGCAAACGGGGGAGCAGAGGGATGGTAGTGACCCAAGGCCTCTGTAATTTTATTTTTTTAAGACATTGAAAAATCTAAAAGGAAGACCAAAAAAAGAAAAAAAACTTAAAGGAAGAGAAAAAGAATTTGCCCAAACAGTTGGAAACCATTCCATTATCTAAATCTTCCATACTTCACATGCATCCTGGCCTTCCACTGCCTGATGAAGTTTGGAATCACTCTCCGTTTCCTACTTCTTCTGGGTTCCATTCCTTTGTGAATAAATTCTCTCACATTCTCACCCTCTGGTGTGTGCTCTGCCTGTCCACAACTGAAAGTGAACTATCCTCTGCTCACAAGATTGCTTGCGTTAAATTGCACTAAAGGGAGGCTTTCTATTTCCACACCCTTTATACTTGGTGAGGAAGACAGTGTCATTGCTCCCCCGTTATCACACCCAGGCAGTCAGTACTCTTCTGTACGGCCATGCCACTTGCTATCCTTCAGAATTGCTATTTTATATTTACCCCTTATTGGAAAACTCCGACATCACTTCCAACTCTGTCATCACCCATACTGACTTTAACAGGTAAATAAAAGACCAATCCTCCTAAGACTTTGATTTCTTCATCTTCAGCAGCCATTACCTCCACCACACTCTAGGAATCCACTGTCCTGACTACACCTCGGTCCTTGTCACCAAATGGAACTGTTCCTTCCCTAAAATCCAAAATTCAAATGTCTAACTATCCTACTTTCTATTTTGGCAACTCCCTCACACAATCTTCCCTCTTAATGGAGACTTCAAATCTCTTGACCACTGTATATTTTACTGACCAGGTATTTTCTTTCTTCCTGACTTCTTTTTTAGTCACTTTATAAAATATAGTTCATTACTTCATTCCCAATCTGTCATGTTTTCTTTCTAACCAAACCAACTGAAATATTCCCAATTCTGGGAATTCAACGGCTTTCTTTTTTCCTATTCTGAATTCAGAGAGAGAGAGAGAAAAAATGGAGGGAGGAAGGCAGGGAGGGAGGGAAGGAAGGAGCAAGGAGAGGAGGGGGAAAAAAGAGAGGAAAAAGAAAAGGCACACAATCATGAGTCTACTTTAAATTCATGGTCACCAGATCAGCAGCCTGTCAGAATTGCCTCCAATCCTCCTATATTTTCTAAATGGACTCTATCATTTGGATTTGTCAAATGGCTTTATCAAATCTTCCTTTCCTCAACCTTCCATCACTACTTCTATCAATTTTAACACATATTACCACCTTCTATTTCACAGAGAAAATTGGAATAATGTTAATAGCAGCTAACGTATAACGGTTTTTTGCTCCTGGCCTGCTAACCACTTCATGTGTGTAGCATTAACTCCCAATTTTCCATAAATTTCCAGGCAAAGACACAATTTTACTTGCCCCAATTTTACACAGATAATTAGGCTTGAGTTATCATTTAGTGTAGCAATTTTCAAACTTTTTGCCTTCAAGGACCCTTGCAAACTTCTGAGGCCCCTAATAAATTTTTGTTTATATGGACTATATCTATTAATATTTACCATATAAAAATTTAAATTGATAAAATTGTAAAATATTTCTTAATTCACTAAATATAATGCTCATGAACCTATTACATGTTAATATAAATAGCATTTATATGAAACAAAACAGTATTTTCTCAGAGAAAAACATTGAAGCATGAAACTGTTTTATAGTTTTCCAAATCCCTTTAAGGTATTGCTTAATAGAAGGGAGGTAAATTCCTGTATGTGCCACCCCATAGAAAAATATTTTGATGCTCTCTTTTTCTCAAGGTAAAGTTTGCCAGAGAAAGTACAAAAGACTCTGGGGAAGAACTGGGGAAGTCATGAGCACATGCACTTTTTATGGTATCCTCCTGCCTTCCTCCTGGGGACCTGGCCTTTGCTATGTTGATAGTCTGCAGTTTCAAAAGCTAGCTCAGACCTAGAGACTAGACAAGGATTTGGGAGCCACTACTGCAGTGTTATTCTTAGCGTCCTGACCATGCCTTCCCTGGATTTCTTTTGATTGTACCGCTTGAGCAGTATCTTTATTTGCTACCTATTGATTTTGTCCCAGGGGACCACACATTCTATCTCTTAACCTTCTCAGGGCCAGGCGCCCCTCCCTTGTTGCCACACAGCTCTTATTGCTCATTCTGGTGTGTGTGCCAGGTTATGTTGTAACTTGGCCCTATCTGTAGATCTAGGGCCCAAGACAGCCGGGAGCAGACTCTGATAGTGGCACAGTTTGTACTACACAGAGAAGACTTCTGGTGGCTTTCAAGCAAAAGGAAGCATTAGCCATTAATCAGAAAGACTGGGTAACATTCAGGCAGAGAGGGCTCAAGGGAATCTGGAAATGGAAGGTGCGGCGGTGTCTACCCTCAGCAGGCTGTGTCAGAGTCTCTGACCTAGCACTATGACTGGCACAGCCAACCTCCTGGGATTTGTGGTTAATCTCCTTTGGTGCTCTGCCACATTTATGAGTAGGTGCTAGGCCTGTTCCTCGGCTGTTCCTGCCTTTGCTCTCCAGGATAAAAGCCTCTTTATTTGCTACCAAAAAGACCTTCTCAATTATCCTCTTAGATTTTAATTGCCAATTAACCACTCAGCATTTTACTATTTCCAAATATCAATTTTACTTAGCAACAGTCAGCGCTTCTGTCCTTAAGGTTACTATTTCCCTCATGTTTCTCAAATGCCTGATACATTGCACTCACTAGAACATTACTTTCCATTAGAAAATCTTCGTGGCTCATTACTGATCAAAGTTTTAACTACTGCAGTTGCCTTCTGCCAAGGTCCCTCTGTCTTCAAGGTCCTCCCCGGCATCAAGTGGCTATGCTTCAAGTCATAAATCCCAGCTCAGTGTCTACTTTTTAGGCCAGTTCTGGCAATGACTGCTTTGGATCAGCTTCCCCAGCCAGCACACTCTGAGTCAGAGATGAGTGTAGGAATATATTAGAGAATGCTTAGGGGAGCACTAGCCATGGAAGGGAGGGTAGAAGGACTGGTCAGAGGGAAGAGTTGATCTGCAGTGTATTCTCCACAAAGGCCTTGGCTCTGAATCCAAGATGTCTTTTCAGAGTCATCGTGAGTTGGGGCAGACAGACTGAGCCTTTATACACCTGCAGCATTCAGTCACTGCATGAAGCCTGCCAAAAGGATGGGTTGTGACCTTGAACAAGTCTACTTGTGGAGATGGCTGGCTGTCAAATGGCATCGCATTGTTGCACTCCCAGCAGCTCAGAAAGTAGCTCCATCATCTGCAAAGAATGATGGCAAAAGAAATACTCAGACAAACACAAAGAATCCTACCATTCACAAACACTCATTAAAAGAATTCTGAAGGGTTTGTTTCAGAAAGATGGAAATGTAATCAAAAGGAAGGAAAGAATAGATAAAGCAGTAAGGCATAATTAATTCATTTAATGTATAGGATAATCATATATACACACACACACACACACACACACACACATATATGGAGAGAGAGAGAAAGAGGAATTTTTATGGAAACTGCACATAACTGAAATATTCTGTAAATCCAGTGTGATTCAAATCAGACCCTAACAGAGATCCTAAAATTCACAGGGGCAATATCCACCAAAATTCCAGATCATTTTAAACATAAGCAGAAAAGTGCCCTTATTTATTTTAAAGCTCTACCATAGCATATGCAATGCCAGAAACAAACAATTGTAACTGTATAGAAATCTTAGCTACAGATTCAAAAATATTTGGGTACTTGGTAAGTAGTATAGGACGTATTAGCATCAGTGAGAAGAGCTATATTATTTAACGAAGGATTCAAATTCTTTTGGATATTAATATAGAAGAAAATAAAACTAGGTGCCTATTTAAAAGCATAGATAAAAATAAATTCAAGAAGAATTAAAGACCTCAATATAAAAGCAATAATATAAAACTAGTTAAAGATAAGAAAATACCTTTTTATCTTGAGAGATAATTTCTTAAGACTTGAAAAAGAAAAAACTAAATAAAATAACAAGTTTAACTAAAAAGTTAAAACATCATTATAATAGGAAACATCCTAAATGTAAAAAGGGCAAATCAAAAATGAAGATGGGTTTTGATTTCTGTATAACCGACAACAGATTTAAAAACAAAGTAAATGGGAAACTACCATTCAATAAAAAGAAAACTGAAAACAACCCAAAAGAATTAGACAAAAGACATGAATGGGAGATTTTCTAGAATTGGAAATCGATTAACATTTAAGGTATCCAAATCAATGCCAAAATGGGATATCATTTAAGGCCC